AAGCACAAATTTCAAATGATGATTGGGAATCAATTGCAAAATCTTTATTAAATGGATATGGAGAAAATATATTTGTATCAATGAAAGAATTACAAGGAAAAACTCATTTATTTACAAGATATTCTCCTCCAAAAGAAGATTTTGCTGTTTTAGATCTTCAATCAACTCTTATTCGAGCAATAACTTCATCACCTGTTTCACTTGTTATTGCTCGTGATATTCGATTTTCATCTTCTATTCGAGCAACAGCTGTTTTATCATTTGTTGGTGAAATTAAATCAGCATGGATTGATTATCGTTTAAATAGAAAAATAACATTAAATATAGCTGAAGAAACAAAATTAAATTCTGATAATATTATAGCAAATACAAAAAATACATTTCCTAATGTTCAAATACAATTAAATAATCATATTCTTAGTTTAGAAGGTCGAGCAGGTTCTGTTCTCGATGCTGAACTTGATATTTTAAAACAATTAATTGTTGAAATGAAATTTAATTTAACAAATGATTATTCACCAACTGCAACAGCTGATTATCAACGTATGAAACGGAATCTTGAAGGTGTTTCAAAAATGCCTTCAATATTTAATCCAATGAAATGGCGTTGGGAAGCTCAACATCAAGTTAAAATAACTGTTAATAATAATACAATAAATAATGAATGTGAAATAACAATTGAAGGACGAGATTCACAAAATCAGTTAGTACAAAAAGAATTTCGATCATTTTTAGGATGGTTAAAAAACTGTGCTGTAATTCGACATCCTAACGCAGGTAAAAAAACAAAATCAGAGCAACTCATTTGAGACTAAAATGTAGAAGTTACATTTGACTTTTAGCATCACTATAAACTTGTTATACATATCAGTTATATCTACAGCAGAGCTTAACGCACTATTAATCTTGAATATAAACTTTCATCTGGACAAAAATCAAAATCTACATTATTTAGAACATCTTAAACGTGTTTTAGTCACTGAAATCTTGAGGAAGGTTTTCGATGTTCTAGAATTTATTAGAATAGTCTAAGTCTTATTGTTGAAACTGTTCAGTACCTTTTTTCTCTGCTAAGAAACTCTGAGAAAGAAGTTTGACAACTGTTGTCTTCGTTTGCTATAGAAACATATCCAATGATAATTGGTCAATGTCCCTGCTAGAGGGCTGCAGGTTACGCTATTTTGACAACCTGTAACCTGCCATGCCCTGCTCTGTTTTCTTTAAAATCGAAGAAAATTCCAAACTTTCGTATCAATTTATTATTAAATTTCATTTCGATTTGTTACAACCATAAAGCAAAACCAAATAACATTATATATCTCGAAAATTTCTAACCATCAAAATATCATCAACAATATCTAGGTTTAAAAACTGCCTTCTTTTTTCTAATACTCGATCTGATGAGCTAACAACATGCTCCGATGTGGATGTGGTGTAGATTATGAATCTTATCTTCGCATATCCACATCCTATTAAGAGATTTCTTGTTTTTTAGTGTATTTGATTCATCTAAACAATTTTTAAAATGATAGCTAATAGTAGAAGTTTCATTTGATATGGAATATGATAATATCTCATAGAACAATCGACATTGTACGAACGGTTGATATTCATTATTGAAACATTTAATATATAATAAATGTTCCAAAAATGAACCATAAGATGATGATGGCGGTTGTACTGTAGCTATAAATTCACCAGTTTTAAGTTTTTCTATCATCTGCTTCTTTTTTCGTTCCATATCTTTTTTTGAATTAGACATAGTTGATATTTCACTAGCAAGAAAATCTAACTGATATTGATGATGATATTTGAGAGCTTAGTTAATGATGATAATAAAGAAAAGAGCAAGATAAAACTCAAAATAAGAAAACTAAATGCACACTTGAGTAGCTACACAATGTATAATGGATAGGTTACCGACATATTTGCTTCTATTGAGTATCTTTGCGACTAGTCTAAATTGATTTTTCAGTTCACTTTCACTTCTATTTTTTTTTCTTAGTATATAACTTTAGCAAAGATATCTATAATATCTAACGCATAAAACTAGTCACAGGTTGACAGGTTACGATACTCGTACCCTGCAATTTTCCCTGTAAAAATTTTCGTAACCTGTGCCTGCCCTGTCCTACCCGGACAGAGCAGGGCAGGGCTCTAGTCCCTGCCTTCTCCCCTTCCGTGTTATTTTGATGATTGGAGCCACAAAACTTCTATTTAAAGTATATACACTCACTATATTTTTCTTCAAAGAAATATAAAATAAATTCCATAAAATAAATGTTAAATGAATTGATAATATGCATGTTTCTTTTTTTATTAAAATAGGTGTTCCACCACGAATTATTAAACCAGCCATGCGTAAAACATGTCTTGATATTGAAGAGAAAATTTCTCGTATTACTGATAGTAAACGAACATCAATTGACTTATGGAAAAGTTTAAAAGGTTCAAAAGTAACACGTGAAACTCGAATGGAAGTTGTTGCATGGATAGCTGTTTCAAAATTTGATTGTCGACTTGAAGGTGGTTTTATTCGAGATTGGATAGTTGGAAATTATACAGCTCGACCAAGTGGAGATCCTTCAACATGGTTATCTTATAATACTAATGCAGCTGGTTTATCACTGCCTTATTTGAATAAAGATTTAATTCCATCAGATCTTGATTGCCATTTACCATCACATAAATATTTTGATATTGATAAATTTTTGGATAATTTACATAAATATCAAATTGAATATAAAGTAATTCGAGAAGATTGGCGTTATATAATATTATTAGATGAAAATACTAAAACTGGTCCATTTACAATGGATTTAATTGAACCTCATGTTGCTTTAACACATGATCGAATTGATTTTGATGTTAGTAATTTATCATTAGAAAAAGATTATACTAAAGAATTAGGAATGAGAGTTGATATTACATATAAACCATATTCAATTGAATTAGAAGCTATTGTTGATAATATTAAAAAAAAACGTTTTCAAGTTTTACGTCCAATTGATAAATATGTTCAAGTTCGTATTGATAAAATGAAAAGTCGTGGTTGGACACAACTTGGACAACCTATGCATGTTATTCCAAATCCACCACCAAAATATCAAGTTGTCCTGGTTCCTTTACCTGATTCGACTGAATTATATAAAACATTAGTTCAACAAATGAAAACTTACATTAATAATCAAGTATATGTATTATCAATTGATCAAATTAAAAATCCTCTTTTAGAAGAAGCTTATTTAGCAATGAAACAATTAATTGCTAAACAATGTAAAGGACAAAATCCAAATGAACGTGAATTATTTCATGGAACAGCAGGTGATGCAATTGATGGAATATTAAATGATGGATTTGATGATCGATATTGGGGAACGAATTTTGGAAAAGGAAAATGGGGTAAATATATAAAAGAAAAATTTTTAATTGCTATGTTGTTTTTTTTTTATTTTTCATATTCTATTAGGTCATGGTGCTTATTTTGCTCATAATCCAGGTGTTTCACATAGATACACTGGAGTCAATCCGATCGATCAAACACGTATTATGTATTATAATAAAGTCGTTTTAGGGAAAGAATCAATAGTTCTGGAACAAAATAATGAATTAATGTCTGCACCAAAAGGTTATCATTCAATACATGGACAATTTTCAGGTAAACCAGATGATGATGAATATATTGTATATCGATATGGACAAGCATTACCATATTTAAGAATAACTTATAAAGCATAATTTTTCTCTTCGAAATCATTTGAACTTTATTATGATCATATTCATATGTTACGCTTGAAAACATGTTTATCATATTTTTTTAATATTTTCATTTATTAAATCTAGAAATAAATTATTTTGAACACTAACCATATTTTTCAAAAGAAAAAGAAATGAAAACCTTTTAAAACGATCAATCTATCTCAAAAAAGGGTGTGGGTATGAGTTCACATAAAACGCAACCACACCTGCTTAGTCTCAACCACTCACAATCTCTTCCATCCACCCTCACTATAATCGGTATTCACCCACTCTTAATTTGAAGTCGGAGAAGTCCTAATGAACAGTGACAATTTCAGAGCAAAGCAATTTTTGATTTTTCACTAATTGTATCAGTTGTGTACTGCTTAGAATCTACCTTTCTAAAACATAGATTCTTGACAAATACTGATTCAAAGTTATTCTGAAACTTACTCGGTTAAATTAGTAGATGTGGTCGTATTTGTGTGCTTTTATAAAAATAGAATATCAAATAGCATGATATGATAACTTGTATATATCTTATGTGCACATTTTAAAAAAAAGACTTTCAGAAAGAACGAAAAGATTTTTCATTTCTTCTTCGCTCAAGTTTCTTCTCTTATTTTTTCTTCGAAGAGAAAAAAGATGATGCAACAGGATGTATATGACTACATTCAGAAGCAAAAAAGAAAATTATAGCGTCTGTAAGCAGTAATACACAAAATACAAGAGCAATCATGAAGATAATATAAGGTTTGATCCTTCTATTACGAAGAAGGACAGGAGCTACTAAAGACTATCAGAAATAGAAACGATCTGCTCTAAAGGGAAAATAAAAGATCTTTATTCTTAACAATTTCAAGCATATGTTGATATATTCGTGTGTTTTTCTTGTATTTTATACATCAATAGTTTTCTCAACCTTTCCTGTAGTTTACAATTGCTCGAAGATCTGACAAAACAGCACAAATTTTCTTGATTTCTGTGTATCTTGAATACTTCTTGACTGACAGTAGCACATGAAGAATATTTTTTTTGGCCAAGTTCTTCATCTCTCATGAGAGAAGTCGTAACAACACACAATAGAACATAAGAAAAAGAAAAGAATTTCGAAATATGTTTATGTATATATACTAAGTGATTAGAAGACCGATTAGCGTAGAATTCGATCGATAATCAATAATGAATGGAAAATCGAACACTGAAATCGATCTTTATCATTCTGGATGTGTGTTGATAGAGATGGAGAGAAGACCATATCCTCATCCATACTTGCATAACCAAATCCATTCACATGTCACCTATACAACGAAATTTTTGAAATTCTCTATGTAGTCTCATATTTTGCTTTTATTGTTGTATTACTCCGTTGTGTTCTTCGCGTTAACTGAATGATAATCTTACAATATATTAAAATAATATACAAATAAGCTTAGACAGATTAAAAATATCAAAATCGGAAAAATCCCATATTGAATATGATTAACGGGTTGTTGTTGTTTTTGTTGCGATTTTTGTTTAAAAGTTATTTTGGATCTGTATAGATCTAAATGCTTTATTTTCATTTTTGAAGGATATTTTCGTTGAATATCTGAAAATTTCGTGCTCAAGGATGCTTTCCATGACCATAATTCTACTGTCCAACCATGTTCTAGTGCTATAGTTACTATATCGGGAAAACTTGTTCGATTATTATTTGCATTTCCATCGCCACTAATTAGTATAAGAATTTGTTGTATATTTCCTCGATGCGACAAATTTTTCAAAATTAAGTTTTGAATTTGTGAATGCAACATATCATCTAAGAATACTTCCTAAAATTAAAAAAGAGCACAACAATAAATGGAAATTCGGGTGCTTTATTCTAGATGTGATTTATACATCAAGTTTACAAAAGAAATGAAACCAGATCGGGGGAGTTTTGTCGAATTACTTACACTTAATCAAATCTACTGTTTTATTTTTTTTTCTAGATTATAATTGTCTGTGAACAAGTTTCTATGGTTGATATTTTCCATTCATTTTTGACTGCATAGATCAATGATTTCGATGTTTCTTTACCAATTTTCTACTTATTTTTGTATTGATTTGATCTGCTCTATCATGAAAACATCGATTTTTAGCATGCCACAGCACATAAAGATAGATGACGTTTTCAAAATATCCTATTGATTCATTTTTCTAATTAATGTCTATTTTTGTGGTCTTATCTTTAATAACTAAATAACGAATCGCAGAAACAGTGCAAAATAAAAAAGTTTATGCGAATGATGTCGATGGCTTCAGGGCATTCACAAATGCATGGGTGGTGTGATTTCGACAGATATCTAACATTTTTTCAATAGTTAAAAAAATATTCATGCAGTTACATCAAGAAAAAACTTCACACTGAAGAACGGCTGTTCACCGGCATTTTTTGCCTGATTATGACGACATGAGATGACTATTCAAAAGAAAATGGTTGGATCTTGCATGTAGGAATACGACGATTGACTATGAATCGTTCTCTCCGTTACCAGAAAAAACTGACCACCCAGTCAGAATATATTATTCCCGCATCCAAAATGCGATCATTATTCCGGTGGAGAGAAGGAACTACTCTGTAGGCTTTTATTTGTGTACAGGGGATAACAAAAAAGAAATGCATTTTGTTACAAAACGTTTTTTGATGAAGTTTGATGGATTTTTGTTCTATGGGAAGGCTCAATAGAGGTAGTAAGACCAGATAATTAAATTTAGATAACTACAGTACAATTGAATCTCATGAAGTCGTATTGGATAGGATATTTGCCATTGTTCTATAATATCAATTATAACATTTTTTTCATGTCACGCAACGAATGACTGTCAAATCGAATCGTTATGTCAAATGAGTAAGTCGACGAGTCAAAAGTTAGGAAATATAGTGATGGTGCCATCGATCAATGTTCAGGAATAGAAATTAGTAGAGGAACCTCATAGACTGTATGGATTCCTATTCTTATCAGGTGGTTTTGTTGTCTATCATAACGAATTCTCCCGAACTCGACTATACGGATTTTGTGCATAATCATTATCGTTTACTTCACAAACGTATGGAATTTAAAGTCTCGAAAAAGAAAGTTTTCTCATAACGTTATCAAGATAGTTGATGCATTATAAGGCTCAATGATATATCTTTTGCCAAAACTATCATATAAAATATAAGAAGATAAATTCTCATATTCGAAATTAAGACAATCAAAATCAGATTGAATGGATATTCTGATAGAGTTTTATCTATCGTTTCTCTTTAACTAATATAAATCAGAAAAAAAAACCGAATAGTCATACTTTATTAAACATAGATCGATCACCAAGTAAACATTTATAATTACATTTTTCCCATTCATCCCAAACTCGTGATGTACGAGGTGGCGTACTACCACCGACAATTCTTGTCTTTATATCCTGTAAATTTTTATTCTCTTCAATAATTTGAACCAAATTTCCAACATTAATACGGATAGCAGCATCTTGTTGTCCATTTATACCTTGACCAAGTTGAGCACCAATAAAAAGATTTGAATTATCAACAACGATATGTATGTTGTATGATAATCTGTAAAAGCAAGAAGAAGATCTCTTGTCAAATCTGTAGCATATCATCTATATTTTGTTACTTACTTTGAAAATTTGGTCTTCTTTTTCAAAGGCGATAACATGATTTCGTTACAATAAATGTGTCAATGAGACGAATTGAAGTCTATTTATTAGTAAATAATACTTTGATTTCTATTAAAATCTAAGTAAATTTTATTTTATTTGCTTTGAAAGACTATTATTGATTTCAAGCACATGATTAGCTCATTATTTTTCAATAAATGTATATTTTTCAAGAGATATTCTCAACTCAAGATAGATTTTGATGTGCACGTCAAAAGCACACTAGTATATTAAAACATCTAAAGCTTACATCAACTTCCATGTGTATTGAAAAATAAATCGATATTTGCGTCTGCTCATCAAGTAAATAGCGAATTTAAATTCATGGAAAGCACCTATTCTAAGTACTCGGTAACTCACTCTTATGTTTACAAAATAATTCATTGAGGAACATAAAATCCGATGTAGAAATAAAATGAAATTCAGCAATGTTAAAATTAGATAAATCGAATTTTTTAACAAAAACAAAATGAAATATACATGTTTAACGTTTTAAAATATGCGCTGTTTGCGCGTAAAAATCTCAGTCTGGATAGAATATGCGCACGATTTATTTAACTTGGTGAATTCTTTTCTTCTGTCCTACTATAACAAACCACGAGACACGATAAAAATAGACGTTTTTCTTTTCTGTTCCTATGACATCTCTTTTTTAACAACTGCGTCGCATTACTCGTATCAAACGATTCAATGTATTTTATATCAACCAGTCATAGAAGGTTTCATCTTACGTGTAATTGATCGCACTCTAGCGGGTGAGTGTGGATTAAGATAAGATGAATATACATCCACACCCTCCAAAACTTCGACTTAAAACTTACACTCACTATGTTCTTCGAGAATATATGTGAGTTTCACAAAACAAACAATTCTTTTTTTTTTCGTTTGATTGATTTGCTATAATTTGTCGTGACAAAAATATCTTCTATATGATCTTGTTGAAATTAAAAATTGATTGAACGATAAAAAAGATTCTTCATGAATATGCTTCTAAATTATGCATCTTTCCAAAAAACTCAATAATATCTTGAAAATGAATTGCATCCTATGACAGAAACAAATATTCAAAAACTTAAAAATAATAAATTTTCTCATAAGATTGTAATATTTTGTAAATTAAACTCTATCATTACTCGAAAATAATAGAAACTTTTCTGAGTAGTTTATTGAATATTTTATATTCAAATTCAAATTTTTTTTAAAGAATAAATGAATATTCTTCTAATACGGAAATAAGAACTTTGATAAATAATTTTATGTGATTTAAATTTTAGTAATTGTGTAAGAAGTAACAAAAAGCAGAAGAAATAATATTATGCTTATTTCTTAATGAGATTTTCAAATGTAACTTTTCGAATAATTGACAGAGATTAATTGATAAGTTCTTGTTGATCGTCAATATCATACAGTCTTAATTGAACGAAAATTATTCAAATCAGAAATAGATCATGATAACATTTGTCGTAGACATTAAATCTACTGACACAACTTCAACAGAATTAATTTCAATAAGAATTAGCTTTAATATATGTGGATTTATTAATAATAATAATATTAGATTTGGAACTAGTTTGGAAAATATTTTATTGAGTTCATTAACAGTAAAATATTCATAATAACATATCTGAATATAAGTCATATAGAGTCGTTTTTGTTGTCATTTGATCGAATATGTATACACTTTTATTCGATATTTGATTTTTATGGAGATAAAAACAAGAGAAATGAAAAGGAAATTTATTTCATGAGAGATTGTTTTTGAACGTAGTTGTGATTATGTGAGAGGTTCGTCTGTAGAGGTAAGGTATTTGCTGCTAAAATGAAAAGTTTCCCTTCCCCTTCTCTCCATCATACAAAGAAAAACCCTTCTAAAATTTGTCACATTGTCAAAATCAAGGATATTGCTTTTTTCTTTGAACATTAATACTGTCTCTCAAAAGTTTTTTCTGTATATCTAAACTATTCCATTCAGCATTATCAACTAGTATTTTTAATAATAGGTTCGTACACGAAGTTTTTATTTATACAAGCAAACTTCAAGGGTGTGGATGTTTCTTTAAATCCATTTTCACATCCACACGCAAATTGATTGCTTAAAAGCAAGAGTAGGGATTAGCAGGTTGATTTCTATCATAGCTATAAATCTCAATCTGTTTCTGGATTGATTTGCCTTCATCTTCAGAAATCATTTTTACTCTTGAACGTATACATTGGAAGACATTAAAAATACAAAAGTTCATTATACAATTACTGAATCAACATGTCGCAGAATATTGATAAAGCTAATCCATTTTTTTCCTGGTTTGTTATTCGAGCTATGGCCGCTTGATTATATATCTTGACCGATTCGAAATCATAATGCGTGGTTGAATTTTGGAATATATCGAAGTCGAAGACGGTAACAAAGGAATAGAAGCTCGAGACCATTTGTCGCCATCGTGCAAGTAAGGTATGAGCACTATGCTCGATTCTTTCTTGATCTTTCATTGATTCAAACAAACCACGATGTCTGCCCGTGAGTATGATTTGTACAACTACGATTTTTCACAGATCAGAGAAAATTGTACAAAATGATGAAATTATATTTAGATAGCCTGTACTTAGACCAGTCGATTCAAATGCAGATACGACATTATACAGTTATTTCGAATCATAAATAGTCGCTCTTCTAGTTCGTCATCACAAGCGCCTTTTGATGAGAATTCAAGGTAACTGAATGAGTACAAGCTCATACGTTCGATTTTATCGCAATCTTGTTCCGTCGCCTTTCATATATGAACAAACTTGTTCATGGCGCACTTATGTAATCATATAATACTATTACTTTAGGCACCGGCAAATAAAGTTGTCCAACGCAACGATCTATGAGTGAGCAGTGTTGCCAGACATGAGAATCAAAATTCACGAATCCAAATGTTAAAATTCGAAAAATTCCAGCATTCCTTTTTTGAAATCCAGAAAAGTTAGGAAAGATATTCAAGAGTCAGTTTTTGCCGTTTAAAGTACATTATTTTCTACCTTCGTAAAATTATTTTTCATTGAAACAAAAGAAAATCAAAATTAAAATATAATCCACTCAAAGAATAAGAACTTGTAAACTATATATCTCGATACTAATTAACATGCTGTTTTTTAATACAATATTTTTCATTAATCAGACTGACTAACAGAAGAAAAACCAAAACCTATTTCGAATTGTTAAAAAATTTTATACAGTATATCAAAAAACAAATGAAATATAAGTAAGTAGTGAGTGTGAGTTTTAAGATGAAGTTTTTCCGGCTACCCTTTCCATTACATACATCTTCCATCACAGACCCTTCCCTCCCCCAACTACAGACGGTCGCAACCGAGAAACACTTCAATCCTCAAAAGATGAACCAATAAAATTTCAGCACTTTAAAATCAGACAAAGGAAAAAACTGATTTTTTTGAGATTTAGATCAGTTTTACATAAAAAATTTCAAAAAGCTCAAAAAATTCAATTTTCAATCAAATTTATCAGAAACATGGATTTTTTCAGGTAACCATATTTTATTTTCAGCATAACTTAGTAGTAATAACCTTGGAATAGACATGATTATAGCAGAAACATTACGGAGCTAATTATATTACGCTTCTTTGACTTTAAAAAAATCAAGATTAATATTGTGCCGAGCAAAATCGAAAGTATGAGATATGAGATAATGAACAGATATATTTAATTCGAGTGCGTGAAAACAAAATCTATAGTGACTTATTTATTGGTTGATATTATCTCTTCTGCCAAACAAAATATACCGATGGATTGTTTGTTACCATTATTCTTTCGTTTACAAAAAAAAGAAAGTAGTGATTCGTTGGTGGTCTATCTATTTATTTAATTGTTCGTTCTTACATTATTATCAGGCCTACTGAATATTCGGCTTTGACCAGAAGGCTACTAATTTTTGAACTTTTCTCTTAATAAAAGATTCCTTGATTTCAGGAGCTGATCTTTAGAATTTTCTTCTGATTTCTTCTGATTTTCACTTCTACAGCTTCTCTGTGGCTGTTTCGAATGTTTATTATCACTCAAGATTCAATCATACACGATCCTTCTAAAATAACAAAACAAGTCAAATCAGAAATCACCTTGTCGGTGTCGAAACGAAAATCTGAAAAATCAATTGTTCGAGCTTTTACAAAATTTCACAATTACTTCCTAAATGATCAAGAATTGTCAAAGAGAATTTTTCTCATCAGAAGAATATAGTCATGCTGTCAATATCGTGAGAATGAAATGCTTCATAGTTTACTTTTCATTTCTGGTTATCTTCTTTTGATTTTTGCATATCCTTATAAAATATTTATGCTTACTTTTTTTTCATCAGTAAATGAACAGATATGAAAATACCAGTACAATGAAATAGATTCGATTATCGAGATGCCAAATAAATGATGAGTGAAAAGTAATTAGAGAAAATGTTCATTGATTTTTCAATTTGCGAAAAGAGTCTATAAAAATTGAGCTTTATCTGAATATTGATTCAAATTTTTTTCTAGGACTTCTGATTTTTTAGAGACTTGGAAATTGAATTTGGAGAAGTTTCAGTTCTAAGACTTATTGAAAATACAAACGAGAATTATTTCAAACATAGCGAATGACAAAGCATAGATTTTCCTATAAAATAATATACCGGTCATAAATTTACTAAAAGTCATTTATCAATAGTAGAAATATCGGTAAGGAACAACATGTCAATTTAAGCAATTTTTTCGACTTTCATGGAGAAAAGGCTTGAGAAATGAGCTCAGCCATGTCTACAGGATTGTTCTAAAATTCTTGATTTTTATTTCACTTTCTAAAGAACAGACTTGCCTTCAATTCTGTGCAAAGAAACTCGTAATGTAACTCATATTGGCAATGTCGATAGATACTCCGCGTATCGTCAGTCAGAACTTAATGTCAAAACGTCCTTTTTGAAAACAATTTGTCGTATCGATCAAGTGATCTCGCGTCCTCAGGAAGACAGATGTTCCTCATTGACCACCATGAATAGTACGTTTCTCATTTCATTCGAAGTGATGTCAAATGAAAATAGCACAGAACAACAATTCGAAGAATGATCGATACCCGTATCGCTCCAGCTGGGTATGGTGAGCATAGGTGTGGGTGTGGGTGTGAGTACGGATGTGTGAATATGGGTATGGGTGAATATGGGTATGGGTGCGGGGACTAGTGTGTGTTGATATGATCGTGCATTCACCCACAGCCACACCCAGACCCACCCCACCCACACCCAGATGGTGGAACAGCTAAAAGAGTCTAAATGATAATACATCTTCTACTTCCATTGTTATAAAATGAAAATAAATCGAAACGTTTATAAATCGAAACAAATCAATATTTAAATTTGAAAAAGACGCTGGATTATCAATATAGTTGCAAGAAGAGTTATGATTAAGATAATGATGTGTCGATTTGACTGTCATAAAAGAATCGAATGTGATCTTCATTTCTCAACTTTCGATGAGGTTTGACTTGTACAGGACTCACGCGATCAGTTTGCAAAAATTTGGACATAAAAGCCGAGAATGTTCCACTTCGTACAAGGATAGCATTAAGCGGACCAAGCCTTGTTAAACTTCGACTATGCTGATATTTTTGGCTCGCTTTGCAAAGTTGTTGTTCGACTTCTGCATTGACAGTATTCTTAAGAATTTCAAATTGTTCTGCACCAATCTTGTATCCATGATCGTTAGTCAGCTCCAGAAAGATGACGTATTTAGCCGGACTTACATCTAATCTTGGATATGACGTAAAGTCACATAAATCAACTAGTATTCCTTGTTCTCTCCATTGACAAATAGTTTGTTGGAGAGCATTTATCACATCTTGTTCACTTATTTTCTCGCCATGTATATCCAAAAGAGTTCCAACACGATATGCAAGTGAAATAAGAGGAATTCGTGGTATCTCTGCTGGTGCTGCTGGTAATGGAACTAAATCATCGGCTCGACAAAGAAATCTAGTGCAGTTGATTACATCTCCCATTCTGTATCGAATCAGTCCGGCATCGTTTGTACAAACTAATTCATATTTATGTCCTGGTTCGATCTCTGAGATGAGAAGAGTTTTTGGTTGTGCCTGAAAATGATTAGAATAGTATTTATAGAATAAAAGGTACAGTCTAGGCATGTTTCCAGTCTGAACCTGGACCGAGTAGCTCGGACTCGACCAGGCTCAGGACTGATCTCTCTCGATCGATTTTGGTGACGATCTTCTAAAACTTGTCTTCTCATAACTATTTCATTGCTTTTATTATTATATATCAGTAACACTACGTTGGTTGTAGTTAAAATTCACTTATAGAAAAAAATAGATATATCTAAAAGTAAATACAATTCAAGGTTTTATAAAAGTATTCACTATATCAGGTTCGAATGAACGACAATGACTCTAGTCCGAGCCCGAACTACTTCAGTTCGGTACAGACAAATACGGCGATATAGTTTTGAGAACATCATTAGACTCTTGCAGTTCGAGCTTGAACAAAATTTTTCATTTTCGATAGGTTTACATAATTATGGTTGAAAAATAAACAAATAGATATAATGGGTGACATAGAATAAAAATACCTTCTTAGTATTTTCGAGATTTCTCTTCTATTACCTCTTTGATGAATGCATCTTTTTTTTAATCAAAAGATGGCGTTTAACATTCTGTTCAAAATGGTATACTTTATTCAATAAAAAGAGCTTCCTTCGTTTTTCTTGAATTAAACGTAATAATCGTACTATAAAATCTGATGAAAATTTTAAATTTTCTTTGTTTTTCAATTTTCATGACAAAATGTTTTATTTTGTCTATCAATGTAGCCTTTATTGTTATGTAGTCTCCGATTTATAGTTTCAGTCAATTTTCTCCACGCCCAGTATTATGGTCATATATCGCCGCATTTCTTCGTATATGACGATTTACGATCATACTTGTTTGTCCTGGGTTTCTTCAATGTTTTAAGTAATACAATTTTTTATTGTATTTATCTTTATTGTATAGATATAAAAGTTCATTTTCATTCATTCTTTGTTATAAATAACAATAAAGATAAACCAATCAGTCTATTTGAAAAAGTGCTTGTGAAATTCAGATAAAATGAAATAGTTGAAAATAAAAGTAATATATTGATAGAATTTATTCGTTTGTTTAGATAGGAGATGATGACATTTATAACAAAAGGTTTAAGATCATAATCTACTGCTCACGCATCTCACTACTTATTAGAAGTGATGTAAAACAAGGCACATAGTTTTGTTAACAGTTTACTATTTTCAATAAGTGATGTGTAAACAACAATCAATTATCATAGGATTAATCATTTAATAAAATGAATCTATTAAATCAAACTTAACTTGGTTAAATTTTAATAATAGAGATACAATTTTAATGTTAGAATTCGGGTTGATTCTGACGACATAGTGATGATTATTTTTTGACTTCTTTAAGAATAAAGCAAACGCGTTCATCTCATAAGAGATCGTAATGTAGAAAAGCCAAAAAGAACATATTGATCTGTTTTCAACACGGATGAGTTTACATACGCTTTGTTTTTTGAACGCATTCACACGCCTGAGAATGTTGTATTTGGATACATTCCAATGCGTCAAGTTGTATAGCTTATAGACGCTCAGAGACGTTTTAGGAGTTTAAGCATGAATACATGGACAGTAAAAAGAATATCATCGAGTTATTCTAATTTCAATAAAAAATATATAGCTTTTCGTTTCGAATCTACTATTCAGATTCTTATTATAAACTTAGATCAGTTTATCTGATTCTGAATTGCTACTCACGGAAATGACGAAAGCAAGATAATCGTCACCGATTGAAAACTTAAATAGATATTTGTCAAAATTATCCTTCTTGAGATATATATATCATATAGAGCCATTCATAGACATATGCTTCGGCTTCTTCTTCTTCTTATTCAACTGAGTTAATAGAAAGCTCATATGTTTATCCAAATAAATTAGAAAAGTCATCTTTTGCTTTCAGCTACTATCTTCTAAACCTAATATCATAACACACAGTATTTCCTCCAATCACAATAACGTTCCGACGAAGATATCGCACGCTGGACTCATGGGCATATTTTTGTACAGACGCAGCTTCCTTTTTTAAATAGTTATCCGTACTAACTAAACTAACTATATAACTATATGTTAAAACTGCATTTCGACAAATGCAATGCATTGACAGAAGCATCTTATGAAACGCATTTTATCGACTCTGTCGATCAGATAGCCTTCACTGGAAGAGAGACATCTTCTTTTAATTATTAAACGTGATTAGAGGCATAAAATGACATGAATGCGTCCCAATGCGTCCTAGAATAAAAATCAAGATGCGTTTAGTCTTAAAAAACTGTTTCAAAACTATGAATGTTCTCGAAATGTGTTCAAGTAACACGGTGATTGGTGCATCTAGATGCGTTTCTATCATGCTTCGATACGGAAACACGTCTAGCTGCGTCTAAAATGCGTTTGATAGTTACATGGGTTTTCTAACATTTAATACATTTTCGTGTAATTTTATTATATGAATATATTTCTGTTGAAGAAGCAATTAAAAAGTACAAATTGATAATATGAGTACAAACTCATTTGGTGAATCATTCCTTCTGTGATGAGAACATATAATTCAGTCAACTTTAATTAAAACAAAAGAAGAATGGTGGAGATTTCGAAGGGTAACTCTTCAATATTGCTCTCAACGATTTTTTCATATCAAAATTCATACCGTTTCAACTCTTCAAAGAAAGAGTCTCATCTGTTAGTTGATAGGAAAAAGTAAAACAAAATATTTCAATTGATGTGCGAATTAACGAGATGAAGAACACTCGAATCTCTTTCTAAAGTAGTAATTTGACAAATAAAATCGATTTCTCGAGTTCTCTTTAACTATATTCTTCACAAACAAAAGTCCTCTTGAATTTAAAATAATAAATGTTCTTACTCAACTAAATATGTTCTATTCTGAAGAAGAAGAGAAGTGAAAGTTTGATTTGAAATTTAGTATTTAAAACATCTTACTTGCTGAATATCTTCTTCTTTGATGAATTCGAAGAATGCATGTGTTGGTAATAGGAAGTATTCGTCCGTGTGAATACTTGCTAGAACAGCAAAAAAGCCTTCACTTCCACCATAGATGAGCAGATTAATGAAAGGTAACTGTTCTCCACAATAAAATTGAATATCGGCTTTGTACGTAGCAAACGAGCCTCCTATCGCCGTAGAAGCATAGATCATAGTTGGCCAAAGACGATGAAGAATACCAGGAACATTCTTTTTCAAACATTCATTTCGAATATGCTTAGCCCGTTCTAATCGATATATCTCTCCGCCATGTTCAACAATCACTTCATTGAGTCTTTGATTTAACATCGATATAAAGTCCAAATCAGAAATATTCTTGCGAACGAGTGAACTATGATCAAAATTGCCAGCCGAAATACAAAGACTGATTTCTTCAAAGTAATTTTCAATGACCTTGACGGTGTGGATGAATGCTGAAGCAAAACCAACTGAGTATGAAGAAATGTGCAGGTTCGCAAGTGCAAAAACAAGTTGAACGAATACACTTGTCTCGAAATCAGTAATTCCTCCAATAGCATCCACTGCTAGGATATTATTAGTCCACCATGGTGCTTGATCTGGAAGAGAGAATGCAACAGTTGACCAATATTGGCTCAGGGGACCGATCAGTGTGCCATCCTTTGATCTTGGAAACATCTCGGGTTTCCTTCCACTTTGCAAGCCAAATAATCGTTGTTTAGAAGACAAAAATGTTGAAGAAGGAAATGATCTCTCAACAATATCAAATCCTAATCCTAGTGAGCTGCTAATTTTTCTTATTGTAGTTGAAGTTGCAGGAAGCAATTTCATCTTACCCGTCGTTCCAGAACTTGTACTAAAATAAACTATATCGTCGGATGAGAGTAGGTTCTTCTCTCCATCGACAACCATTCGATCAATATAATTACGGTAGTCTTCATAAGTTGTCAATGGAACTTTCTCTCGAAACTCATCGATAGATGCATATTCATCTTCTCCAGAAGTAGTGCCGTCTGTCGATAAGCATAAAATTGATCGATCGACGAAGAATGCACATGAATGATTTTTCCGAAGAAGTTCTTCCAGTAATTTATTGTTAGTAGTCTGTAAATTGCAAAGCAAATTCTGATAGTACGGTACAAATGAATTCGTGTCCGATCCTTGCGAGCTTGAATCCATTAATTTTCGAAGATATATGATAGTGATAGTAATACGACTAGTGCACAAAAGAGTATTGTTTTACCTTGCTGTTAAACTATACGCTGCACTTTCAAGATGATAACACCATAAATACTGTAATAGATACCAAGAAGAAAGGAAGGATTGTGAAAAGACAACAAAAAGAAAAGAATCTTCTGTCAATAGACGAGCTATGTTATCTTACACTTTATAAAAAATAAAAACAACAATGCAATTATCATATCATTTTTTCTTTAATTTCGCGAGCGTCTTGTATCAAGTAGAGAATTGAGGCACAACTTGCAAACAAAGTTCGACTGTCGCAACAAAGGCTGAATCGTGAGCTCTTAAAAACAAACCTAAAATAATGACTTTCTAAAGACTCGATGAAAATATAAAGTACATTAAACCATTGTCAAGGCTTGATAAACCCAATCGAATTTACGGATGTCATTCAAAATATTCTGGGACGGGTGTCTATGGCTGTGGCCATCAGTGTCAGTGGAAAGAAAACCAACTAGGGTGTGGGTGACAGAGATGTCTATCGCGGCAGCGGCATGATTTTTTTGGAGGACGTTGAAAAACGGCATGAATTTAATCGAATTTCAGGGTTTATAAATGAAACACCCAGAGACTGAATGAATCTGATGGACTAGTACTAATATCTCGGGTCAAATATAGTCGTAGCAGTGTAATTAAAAACATTTTTTTGAAAACCGCCGCGGCACGTTCATTTTATAATTCATTGCGGCAACGTTTTTTTATAAGTCATCGCGGCGCGGCAGTGGTAGATTTTCAGCCGCGATAGACATCTCTAGTGGGTGGGTGTGGGTATGAGGTGTGAGTGTTTATCTTTTTCTCACCCAGACCCACAAGGAAAATATCAATTTTGGATATCTTCCGAAGTTTTCGTTCTATTAAAGATCGGTTACCATTATGTGTTGTTTTTGAAAAAAAATATAGGGAAATGAATAGACATAAAGTCATTGAATTGTTCATAATTGAATTTTTATTTTCGAGGAAATTGCTGCAGCATATTCTCAAAACGAATAGTTCGGAGTGAATTTAAAAAATGAACTCATTTTGCAACTGAATATGGAATACATCGATATAATATCAAAAACACCGAAGAATATCATAGACGTTATTTCTAGTTTTTGAAACAGATTAACAAGCGTAGGTTCATTTGGTTTTTGCTTAAGAAATCTGTGACAATATGCATGCAAAGAAACTATTATTTGTCTCCGATACTACAATTGATTTATTTTTCGTTTGAAAAAAACAAATCTTGAAAACAATAACAATCATCTACGGAAATAAAAATTTTCAATGCATTTTCAAACAACGGTGTACACTATTTTGTTTCTATGTATAAATCCATTTATAGCAATATAAGAAGAATGAGAGAGAAACTTGCAAACATCGTAAAAAGGAAGTAATATATGGTGCAGTATATAAACTCACGTTGCAATGAATCATTTTTTTTCTACTTGTTCGTTGTCTTGTGACACTATAGACCACAGTAGGTAGAAAAAGAACAGGAAAGCCTTGAAGTAAAATGAAAGGAAAAAACCAACTTGCATATCAACAACAAGCGAATATAAATAGAAGCAGCTAGGAAGAAAAATTACAACATAATATATAATAAGTTCAAGTTATTTTCTTTGTTCTTCATTGATTAAAAACTACGGACACTATCAACACAAAGCAAATGTCGACTGCAACAACAACTGCTACTGCTGCTGCTACTACGTCATCTGATGATACAAGCATAGAACGACAACAGTTTCCTTCTGCTGACGTAGTTCAGAATTTTCTAGTGGTATGGCTCGATACCAAAATCGATGACAAGAATAATGACTACTATATCAATGCTATCAACAAATTAAAAGAAGTGGTCAACAAAATATATTCATTCAGTGACGTTAATGAATGTATCGATTTCATAACTACCTTGCAAGATGAGAAAATAGTTATGATTATTTCTGATTCCTTCGTTCAAATAGTTGTGCCTATCATCCATGATATTCCACTAATCGATACGTTGTATATTTTAGTTGAGAACCAAGTTCAACCTGAAGATTTGATCAAACAATGGTCAAAAATAAACGGTGTATTTACAGATATTGCCTCAATCTGTGAAGCACTTCAACAACCTGCAAATATAGATGGGAAGAATTTGGTCACCATTGATTTCGTTTCCACTACTAATGAAAGTCAAAAACAAAATTTGGATCAACTAGATCCATCATTCATGTACACACAAATTTTTAAAGAAATTTTATTAACCATTGACTTCGAAGAAAAACATTTTAAACAATTTATATCCAGCTGTCGTGAACTTGTCACAGACAATAGTTACAATATAAAAACCATCGACAAACTCGAACAAGAATATCATCTACATGATCCGATATGGTGGTATACATCCAACCCCTTTCTTTATTTGACGCTTAGTCGATCGTTACGCACGATGGACTTAAATCTCATGATTAATATGGGATTTTTCATCCGAGATCTCCACAATAGCATCTCTAAGCTTCACGCTCAACAGTACTCTAAAAATTCATCTTCAGATTCATTGACTGTCTATCGTGGTCAAGGAATGTCACAAACAGATTTTGATCGAATGTTCAAGACACAAGGTGGTCTATTATCATTTAATAACTTTTTGTCGACTAGTCTTAATCGGGAAATATCTCTTCTCTATGCTGAGAGTAATCAAAGCTATACCGACACAATTGGTGTCCTCTTTGAGATAACTATTAATCCATCAGTATCATCTATTCCTTTCGCAAACGTACCTGATGCCAATGATTTCGAAGAAGAAGAAATTCTTTTCTCCACCCATTCCAAGTTTCGTATTGGACCAATGGAACAAATCAATGGAAATAATCGCCTCTGGCAAGTCAATTTAATGTTAACCGATGATAACGATCCAGAAATTCATACACTCACTGAATACATGCGTGAAGAGATCTATTCAGAAGCACAAGGATGGGATCGTTTGGGTTTGTTGTTAATTAAAACTGGAAAGTTCGACAAAGCCCAAGAGATATACGATATCCTACTTGGTGAAACAACGACTGATCAAGAAAAAGCACACATGTATCATAGGCTTGGAGTGATAAAGAATAGTCAAGGTAGATATACAGATGCAATTACGTATTTTCAGCAATCCATTGAAATCAAAACGAAAGTTCTCTCACCAATGGATAGTGATTTGGCTTCATCTTACGATAACATTGGTTTAGTGTACAAAAATATGGGTGACTATTCGAACGCATTATTATTTCATCAAAATGCGCTGGAAATTCGCCAGAAAAATCTTCCATCAAATCACCGCGATTTGGCTATTTCGTACAATAATATTGGTTTGATGTATAATCATATGAGTGACTATTCTAATGCATTGTCATTTCATCAAAAAGCATTAGAAATTCATCAAAAAATTCTTCCACCCAATCATCCTGACTTGGCTACTTCGTACAATAATATTGGTTTGGTGTATAATCATA